ACCTTAGCTCTATCTGTGCAAATCAATTTAACTTATTTCAGATATTCCTTATTAAATTAGAGTGTTAGATATTCCCTTTTAATTTTGACTAAAGTTATTGAATATCTACATACTTTGAAATAACATGAATTACTAAAATGTTTGCCACAAAAGTTTTACATTCACCTGCCTTTGGCGTTCTATTGCAGAGTGTCTATAGAGTGGTTTTGAAACTGTTGATAAATGTCCTGTGCTTTGTTGGAGATGTGTGACTTGAAAGTGAGAGTGTTCGCCAATGGAGAAGCTTATGTTTCTAAAGGTTATAAAATCTATATTAATACAAGAGTAATATGCTAATTAGGCTGGGAGACCTTCCGGACATCCTTCTGGACAAAGGCATGGTGGCAGTGCCGAGGCAGAAGCGGTTAGGGTTATTGGTTCCAATTCAATACCAATAGAAATCTTCCATTTGGGGTGTGATGAAGGGGGAGACTTTATTTAATACAAACATCTCAATTGTGATACCTTGTGACTGGGAACCAAATGGCTGTGGAATAGCTGAATGTTGTTACAGCTCAATTATGAAACAGCATGGCTGTGGAACAGCATATCTGTGAAGTGGCACTGGGCATAAGCCGGCTCAGCCCAATGTTGTACCTCAGCCAGGGGTTGCCACTTGGCTGGGTCTTATAGGTCAACCTTTTTCGAGCTAGCCAATTTTGCTTAGCTCTGGTTCACACTGGTCAGTGGAAACAGTACAGCTTTACTTCTGTCCAGTGAATAGTCTCTGTTGTTTCATCTCTAGTAGGAAATGCAGTCTTAGGAGGAGAGGAATGTGAGCTCCATTGGGGACTGACTATTTAGAGAATTCTGGCCCCTGCTCCCTGATTTGTCTGTTCTGATGAAAATTGAAGACTCTAACCCTAGCCAGTTTGGTTCAATGGATAGAGCGTTGACCTGCAGAGTAAGGGTCCCAGGTTCAATTCTGGTCAAGGGCACATGCCTGGGTTGCAGGCTCCAGTCGTGGCCACGCAGGAGGCAGCAGACAAATGATTTTCTCTCATCATTGATGTTTCTATCTCTCTCTCCCTCTTCCTTCCTCTCTGAAATCAATAAAAATATATTAAAAGAAAATAGAAAACTCTAAACGTTCACAGTTTGGTCCAAAACGCACTGTTCTGATTGGTTGAAATAGAGCCACTCTGGTTCCTAAAGATGCTAATGAGGATATAGCTGCACAGTTCTGATTGGATGGGGAAAGTCTCAGTCCTATTGGTTGAAATATGATTTCAGGAACTCCTTTATTTAATTAAATTAATTAATTAATTTTTTTGTTAATCCTCACTGGAGGATATTTTTTTCCCATTGATTTTTAGAGAGAGTATGAGGGAGTGGGAGAGACAGACAGAGAGAGAAACATTGATGTGAGAGAGGCACACCAATTAGTTGCCTCCTGCACGTGCCCCATCTGGGTCTGGGGTTTGAACCTGTGACACTCCATTGCACAGGCTGACACTCTAAGCACTTAACAACACTGCCAGGGTTGCCTCTGTTATTTTGTAAAATGAGGATGATAGTGTAACCAGACAAACAATGGGTCCATGCTGCCTGTCACTACTCAATCCAGTTAAGCAGAGACAGGGTTGAATCATATATGAGCATTTATTCCAATATTGCCATCAGTATGGGAGAGCAGCAGGTTGTACACAAAAATCTGTTCTGCAGCCTCCCCATAAACTGACTGCTTATATAGGTAGAAGTTTAAAGGAAAGTAGGCAAAAGGGCAAATGGGCAGTTTACAGATAAGCGAAAAAGGGCTGGGGATCTTCAAAGGGCTTGGTGATATGCAAGGGCTGGGGTTACATGGGGAAATAAGGGGAGGGTAGGCCAGGTGGGTAGTTAATAGGTAAGCAAAAGGTCTGGGATCTTCAAAGGGCTTAGTTATATCCAAAGCTTGGGGTCTTCAAAGGGCTGGCGATTCTGGTTTCTGCAACAAAGTTGTTAATCTTTCCAGGATAATCAGCAGCTCCAAATGGGGAGGGTGGGCTACACTTCAAGGTGAGCTCCCAGGTCCTGAGTGCAGCTGCCAGCCAGGTTAGAATGTGCCTTATTTAATTTGAATAAAACAATCACAGTTAACAGAGCATGATTAATATTTCTTACAATACTAGCTGATTTCCCAACATTCTCTTTCTGCCCCCTTTCAATAGTAGTACCTGTCATCATAGTGTTTGTAATGATTAATTCTATGTCAACTTGACTCGGCCACAGTGCCCAGATATTGGGTCTCACATTATTCTGGATGTTTCTATGAGGGGTTTTTAGATGAGATGAACAGAATTTAGTAACACTGGAATTAGTAACATTGGAATTAGTAGAGCAGATTGCCCTCCACAGTGTGGTCAGCCCCGTGTAATCAATGGAAGGCCTGAATAGAACAAAAGAGTGATGTCCCCTGAGCTAGAGAGAACTCTGCCAGCAAACAGCTGCATCAGCTCTTTCCTGAGTCTCCAGTCTGCCAGCCCACCCTGCAGATTTTGGACCTGCCAGCCTTCATAATTGTGTGAGCCAATTCCTTAGACCAAATCTCTCTCTATGTATACACACATCCTATTGGTTCTGTTTCTCTGGAGAACCCTGTCTAATACTGACTTGTCATTAGGGTTAAATAATTTATACATGCAATACTTAAAGATTCGGACAGGAGTGGGTGGCTGCACTAGCAAAGTATAACTTCAGTGTTTGCACCTGTCTGGGTTCAGCTTCATGGATGCCTATGTTCTCTTGCTCTTTGAACATACCTGGGGCTACTGAAAATACCCCCATTCCCTCAGCAATAATTGAGGGCCATTTGGGGCCCCCAAAGGTCAGCCACTGTTTCTGTCATCTGAAAGGGACCGGGACAGGGCTGAAATGGGTCTGTCTGGCATGGCTTGGAATGCATGGGTTCCTGACTTTGTGCAGGAAAGAATTGAAGACATGGGTGTAGGTGATTTTGAGAGTATGTTTATTAAAGTGTGGGATGGTGAAACAAAGGAAGGGCTTAGGATAGGAGAAGCAAGATCACAGTACCAGAAGTGAGTCTAGGCCAGTGGTTCTCAACCTTCTGGCCCTTTAAATACAGTTCCTTATGTTGTGACCCAACCATAAAATTATTTTCGTTGCTACTTCATAACTGTAATGTTACTACTGTTATGAGTCCTAATGTAAATATCTGATATGCAGGATGGTCTTAGGCGACCCCTGTGAAAGGGCTGTTCTACCGCCAAAGGGGTCGCGACCCACAGGTTGAGAACCGCTGGTCTAGGTAGACAATAGTAGCAGAAAGGAAGTCATAGTAACAGAATTAAGCCTAGGTGGGTCTGCTTTGTGTTCACTAAAAAGTTATTAAAAGGAGGGTTCCCACAGCTTAGGAGAAAGAAAGTAAACTTATGTGCATGAGGAAAGGGGTGGGGCACAGTGCATGCACTGGGCCCTGTGGGAAGCTATTTCTGTCTTTTGCAGGGAATTTTAAGGGAGGCCTCACTCAGAATATTCATCAGCTTTCCAGGTGTGTCCTTCAATATGCTGATGCATCAATCTCTGCTCATTTTCACCTCTATCTTGGATTTGTTAGGCTCTAATTTTTCTTTCTATTGATTCCCCTGACTTTATTCATTTGGGTTTGCTTGGCACTAATGGCACTAACTGGGTCTCTGTTATCTATCTCTCTGACTGGGGTTATTTAAGCTCCCTGCTCTCTGGCTGGGAAGGAGACATGTAAACCATCAGCTCCTAAGGGTCCTTGGTTAGGGAGGAGAGGGACTTGTGATTTATCAGCTGGGTGTTAATTGCTCAGCTGTTCCTGTAACTAGTTTGTCTCCTTCCACTAGTTTTTTCTCCTTCCACTTGTCCAGGAATTTTCCTAGCTTCTTACTATCCTGCCTGGCATGGCAGGAAGTGGAAGGTTGATCCCTGCAATGACTGTCTACCTTGTGACTCCACAATCAACAGAGCCTCAGCTGGGAGTTAAAACTTGGAGGACAGTGCCTGGGACAGGCCCTGAGCTACCAGTCTCCACCTGCAGCTTCCTGTAGAGAGGAGCTAAACTTCCTCTACAAGATTCTTGATTTTACCTTGAGAATGAATGAAGTAAATTAGAACCAATAAATGGGCACTGTCCCATGCAATGTGACACCCAGTGCAGGGTGTGTCCTGAGAATATTCTTCCATGCTTTTCAGGTTCTTACAGGAGACTTTTGGATTTTTGATGAAGAAAGAAGCTCTAAGACATATTGGCATGTTCTTTTATTTCTCTTAAGACAGCTGAGGACATCAAATTAAGAATCAAATCATATACCTGCCACCTTCAGCAGAAAACTGGAGAAACAGATTACATTTAAATCAAGTTCATTGTGTCAGCTTTCTTGTTCTTGGAGGTGGAGAGCCAGAGTCTGGGGTGCAGAGTCCTGACGATATCTTGCCTTCTGCACAAGCTTACCTGCCTGGGATCAGAAAGCAGCCACATTACATGGATCTTAGTAAAAGAGTACCCTTCTCAAGTACAGGTGTCTTGCTAGACTCCACTTCCATTAGAGGCCAGCTCCAGGAGCTGGGATCCAAAGTTCCAAGAGCTGGGATCCAAAGTTCAGTAGTATTCTTATTCAGAAGAAGGTCCTGACAGAGTCCGCCAAATGTATTGAACATGTTAGCAATGTGACCTGAGCAGAAAAGTAATGAGTCCAGGAGGTGGCTCCTCTGCACATTATTATGGAACAACTGGGACTTCTGTAGGGGCACAGGCAGTGGTACCTACGTCGGGTGTAAGGGGATGGAATCACTTTGCACAGCAGGAGTTATCTAAGCTAAGACTGGGATCCATTCCCCCTGTGGCCTCGATCTTCACCTCTCTTGTGGCTCTAGGAATCCAGTAGACTTCAGAATCAACAAAAAGCACAATTTGGGCTAATAGAAAAACCCAGCTCAACAAGGACAAATGAAAAACAAATCTGTTTTTGCCCCTACTCCTAGCCATTCCAAACCTTCCAGGTGTCCATTTCCACTGTCTGTCTTCAGCCAGAAGTGACCTTTTTGCATCTTGATGGCACAGGGAAGGCTGTGGTGGTCACTGGACAAGGCTCTTGGGTGAGGCTTCTACAAGGTTGGAAGACATCCTGCTAGCTTCAGAGGGACATTCCTCCAGAGGCTGTCATTCTACCCAGACAGCTGGCCTGTGAGAGCCAAGGGAGGCAGCCTGGAAGCTCGTGTGGCAGCACTGAGCATGGACATGTAATGCCCAGCAAAGGCATCATCAAAGCACTATAACGTTAGGGTTAGAAGGCAATGTGTTTGTGTATTTATTTATTTATTTATTTATTTATTTATTTATCTATCTATCTATCTATCTATCTTCACTGAGGACATGCTTAGAGGGGCAGAGGGAGGAAGGGGGAGAGAGAGAAACATTGATGTGAGAGAGAAATATCAGCAACATTATAGGTTGCCTTCCATACATGCCATGCCCAGCATTCGAACCCGCAACCCAGGTATGTGCCCTGACCAGGATTCGAGCCAACAACCCTGCAGTGAAGAGGATGACACTCAGGCAACTGAGCCACTCTGGCTGGGCAATGGCAATGTGTTTAGACATGAAGAAACCTAGACCCAAAGCCTGGACAGTCAGAGCCAGGACTCAGAAGCAGGTATTCTGACTTCAGCCTCCGAGCTTGTCAGTAACTCCCCTAGTCTCCTCCACTGCATCACTTCTCCAAGAGTTCCTCAATTAGGTGAGGATGGATCTCCTTCAGGGCTCGGTAGAGTTTATCTTTGCAGGCCCAGTCCCAGGACTTGATGATGCTGAACAGCTTCCTCATCTTGTCTGGATTGGTGGGCTCAGCCCGCACCCTCTCATACTGCTCCTCGCTCAGCACCTGTCCATGCAGCTTGTCTAGGATTGCATCCACCGATGTCACTCGAGCCACCAGCTGGGCCCGATGTTGGTCCACAAAGTGCAGCAAGTCTGCAGCATTGGGGGGTGAAGGTGAGGCTGACAATGAATAAAGAAGGGCTCTCAACACAGTTTCTGCATCTGATCCCCACCTGTAGTTCTTCACTCACCTGATCTGCATCCTTGGCTTCCCCCCCACCCACCACCTATGAAAACATTCGACCACAGAGAGGCACCTCTGCCTATCCTCAAATACCTGATGGAGGCATATTATGTTGCCCATGGAAGGTGCTAGGGCCTCCATGGGCAGAAATAAGGGTGATGGGAAAGGACTCTGCCCTGGGGCACACACCACTCTCCAAGGACCAATCCCTTGTTGGGTGTGAAGAGTTCCCTTCTTTCTCTCCTCCCTCCCTCCAGGACCAGGTAGCACACTCCAGAACTGCCATGGCTCCTGTGGTCTCTAACACTGTTACTGACCTGTCGGGGCTTGAGAGACCAGGGGAGCTGCAGGTCTGAGGTCTCCTGGAGGAAAAAAGATGTGAATAAGCATTGGTATCAGTGGTAGTTATTAACACAAATGATAAGCCTTAAAAATCCTACCCATGTCTCACTTCTGAGATTCTTTGATCCCTAGAAGTGGCTACAGACTAATCCTGATAGGAGTTGGAGTAAGCATTGCAAGGGGCCTTATAAATTATGTAGGGGAATCCCTTCCATATGTGTATGGAGAAACTGAGGCCCAGAAGCCATCATCATAGACAGAGAGACAGAGTGAGAGGAAAAGTTCTTCCTCAACAATGCAGACATGGTTTAATTTAGTCTTGACCTGAATGGAACCCTGGTGGAGAAATAACTGAGACCCTTACAAGGTAGCTTCAACTATGAGATCTCCTTATTTTGAGCAGAAGGTTACCTCTTTGTCCTTGGCTTATAGACTCACACTGTTCTGAATTTTGATATCAGAATCAAGATCAAGAAAATCTTAGCACCAGGGTAATGGATGAATTTCAATGGGAAAAAGAAACAACAACAAAGGAGGGGTTTAAAAAATTACTTGCATTAGGAGAGAAAGGGGACGTCCACAGCAGCCCCTGTGGACATGGCCTGAGGTTCTGAGAGGACCCAAGTTCAGTGTGGCCTGACAGTGTGGGAGGGTAGCCAAGCACAGGGGAGCTCGGGTTGTGGTGCTGGGAGCATCGGGTTCACTTGGATGGAGGGAGGAGGGTGTTCCACATCCTCCATGCTGACTGGACAGTCTTAGAGTCCATCCTGACTTGTCCTCATATGGGCACATCTACTGAGGAAGGTGCCTGACAACACAAAGCCATAAAATCCAAAATATAAAAGTAATGTTAGAAGAAAATAGAAATGTTTAACTTGCACAGGAGGAGACCTAACATAGGCCCTGATCTGTCTTCAGGTACCTAAAGAGGTTTCTCATAGGAATGCAGATAGATTCTTCTCTCAGTTCCAAGAAGCAGAATTAAGATTGAGAGGAGGAAGAGGAACACTTAATATGAGAAAAATTAACAATATCACTACTATTTATAAGGACCAAAGCATGAGATATGTACATACATCGTGTATTTAATCTTTCCAACAATCCTACAATTTAGACAATATAACCCTCCTTTTATAAATGAGACTCAGATGAGTTAAGTAATTTTCCCAAGATTACCCAGCAAGTAAGTGTCAGAGTGAGATTCAAATGAGGTCTGATGCTGGGGCTGATTAGTCCACACCTGTGATTACACCCAAGCCATGACTAAGTCACAACCATTCTCTTTCTCTGCACTGGGAACACTGTTTGTAGCAACTCAGAAGGCAGATTTACCATATTTCAACAGTAAACATGGGCTGGTTTTTCCTAAAAGGACTTTTTAGGGGGATTTTCTTCTTGGAAGTGTTGGTGCTGGTTTAAAAGACTATAAAATTGCAATCATTCCTGCAAGTTCATTATTTGATTCCTTCTTGTCTACTTTGAAATATCTGAGTGATCAGGTTAAATGTATGTGCTATTGCCATAACTGGCTTAATTCATACAACCATATAACCGTCTAATTTTTTTCTCATCTCATGTCCAATATATTATGAGAAACTTTGCCAAATGCCTTTGAGTTTCAAAATCTGTTAAATCAAGGGCAGTGTAGAGATACCATGGTGCATGGGAGAGGGAATGGAGCTTAAAGTCAGATTAACTTGAGTTCAAATTCTAGTCATGCCAACTGTTATATAACTAGAAAAAGTCACTTCCCTGGGCTATTTCTTCTCATCAGAAAATTGTAATCACACACACACACACACACACACACACACACACACACACAGACGCAGCTGAACTTGTCTTTACTTTACCTGATTTCACCAAGGCCTCCCACACCACAGTCTCATCATTTTTGCTTTTAATCTGTAGCCGGATCCCCGACCCCAGATGGCCAACGTAGAACTCAGAGAAGAGCTGGGGTTTCCCAGGGCTTCGATAGCAGAGCTCCAGTTCCTGTAGAAACAGTGGTGATGTGAGAAGCCACGATCCATCCTGCAAGTGAGGTGTCTCCCCACCTGACACCTTCTTGGCCCTGCTCAGCCCCATGGGGACCCTGGGGTGATCTCTACTGAAATTAATGCCACCTCAGGCACTGCTCTCTTCCTCATTTTCCACAAATCCTGACTCAGAAGGAAGAGGACATGGCTGGGTCAGGACTCATCTCTAATGTAGTGCTCACACATCTTAAACCAGATCCTTCTCCCTCCATCTTGAACCAGATCCCTCCTCCATCTTGAATCAGATCCCTCTTCCTCCACCTCCTCTATCTTGAACCCAAATTCACATTTCTCCAGCCCAAGGCCTGTCTTCTCAATGTGTCCTAAGTTTGAAACACTTTCAATCAACAGAAAATTCATGTGCTTGACACACTTTTAATCACCAGAAGATTTATATCCATCCCCTTTGCTAAATCACATTCAAGATGACTCTTGATTCCAAACTGTCTTTCATAAATGTTCTCTTCCCATTTTCCCCACACTCAGTAGATAGCACTACCACCCACTGAGAACTCATGTTTCAGATTCAGGCATCATCCTTAACTCCTACCTTTCGCTTTCATAAGCCAAGTCCTATTGGCTGTATCTGCAACATATACACTCAGTCCATCAACTTATCTTCATCTCAGCTGCTTCTTCCCTAATCAAGGCATCTGTGGCTCCTGCCTGTACCATAGCAACAGTCTTTTGTTTTCACTCTTGTCTTCTTATCACCCATTTTTACCCAGCAGCCAGCGGCATCTATGTGAAACTAAAGCAGGTCTTGTATTACCAAGCAACAACCTCTGAGATCTAGTCATTGCACTTAGAACAAAATCCAAAACTCCACATTAAGGCAACAGAGTTGATGGGCCCTAGGAAACCTCTGTCTCTTATGTGACTCCACCTTACTTCTCTCTTTGCTACACTCAGTAAGCTGTGCCACACTGACTTCCCATTTGTCATGTGGAGGAATCAGGGTGCCTGCTCCTCTATCCTCTGGACCTGAAGTGCTCTGTTACAAATATTCACCTCCTAGGGCCCTTCTTGTCACTCAGGTCTCAGCTTATATGTCACTGCTCAGAGGCTCTTCCCCTGACCACCCAGTATAAAGCAGCCCAAGTCACTCTCTTAATTTCCATAGTTGTATTTTTCTCACAGCACTTCATGGTTCTTGGTCCATTTCTTTAATGATGTAGGTCTCATCCACCAGAATGTCATCTTCCCAAGGGCAGGGCCTTTCTGTCTTGTTCACTGGACTATCACAAATGAAGACAGCACATGGTTGGCACTGGGTAAATGTGTGGAGAATGACTGTGTCATGTCTCTCATCCCTTGTTAAGATCTGACACAGCAGGGAAATCTAAGGTATTCATTGTTGGATTCATGTTTCTCAACTCAAAATATATATAACATTTCCTCATTACTCCTGGAAATGTATTCCATCTGTCATTGTCACTTCAACTGGTCCAAGGACTCATCTCAGAACAGAAGAAAAAGAATTGACTCTAATTCAACAACAGACATCCATTCAGGTGAAACTCTTATCCTCAGCAGCAAGATCTTGGCAATGGTGAACATTTGGATATCATGGATGAATGTCCAGTGGCCTGACGTCATTCCCTTTGGTGAAAAGGGGAGACTGAGAAAGGATAAAAGACAGCTCCTGATACCCAGACCTGATGTGATGCTCACGATTAGACCTCATTGTTATTGCAAACTAATCTGATGCTGCCATCTCTGCTGTGTTGTCCTCCTGTTGGACATATACAATCTCACAATCGCCAAACATCATTCCATCCCACTGCAGATTTGACTATTTCAGCTATTATATCTTCACACTTCATTGCCTGCCCTTCCTAGAGAGAAAATGTGTAGAGGTTCCCAATTACAGAATTGCCCTACCTTCTCAGAATACCAGATCTAGACCAAATCTCCATTTCCTTTGATCTTCCCCCAAATTACCTAAATCCTGAAATAGGTTCTTTCTGAGTCTCTTAATCTGAGGGACCCCATGGTTCTCACTAGTGTGTGTTTTCTCACTGCAATGAATAATAACCCCAGTGTTCAGCTATGGATGTATTCCTGGTGTTTTGCTTGGAGAGCATCAATACTCTACAACCCAATACTTCTCAGTTCCCCTAAGTCAGCAGTTCTCAACTTGTGGGTCGTGACCCCCTTTGGGAGTTGAACCACCCTTTCACAGGGGTCGCCTAAGACCTTCGGAAAACACATATATAATTACATATGGTTTTTGTGATTAATCACTATGCTTTAATTATGTTCTATTTGTAACAATGAAAATACATCCTGCATATCAGATATTTACATTATGATTCATAACAGTAGCAAAATTATAGTTATGAAGTAGCAAAATAATTTTATGGCTGGGGGTCACCACAACATGAGGAACTGTATTAAAGGGTCACAGCATTAGGAAGGTTGAGAACCACTGCCCTTAGTCAAACCCTATTGCTATTCCTATCCTGAATGTAACCCTTCATCCTACTAGTGATTTTTTTTCCAAATTTTGAAGGATTCCTGCTCACCCCAAATCCCACTCACTATCTCCCGAACCACAATTGGGCCTGTCCCTTGGAAAGCTCTGAGACCTGACCCACAGGTATTCCCAAACATGACCTCTGGCCTTAGGAAGGGGGGAATATCTGGACTGCTCACCTCAGGAATTATTTCCATTTTCTGTGAACCAGACACAATATATCTGGAGCCTACGTGGAGCGGAGTCAGCGGGGGTGGCTTGTGTATTCGCACAAACTGGAACTTCTTTTTTTCATTATCTACGGCCTAAGGAGCATAAAGAACACTGATCAAGGGAGGAGGGTCTCTGGATCCCCCTGAAGGATTCCACTCTATGGACTCTGATCTGAACAAAGTGAAGTGGGGCTTTCACGTGTTGATGTTGGTGGGGGGGGCTATACCACTTTGAACTCTCCCTTCCCTATCCCCCATGATTGCTACATAAACCCACCCACTTGTCCAGAGCTATGTTCAGGGTGGGAATTTGGGCATTGATAGAGAAGAAATGAGAATGGAGAAGTGGGTACACCTCTGTGGATGGAGCCCTCCCATCCTTCTGACTCCTGGAAAGAGATTGCGAAAGGGTGTTCAGCAATGAGTAATGGACCAGTGAGCCCAGTTTGGGGAGGTCTTAGGGACCTACAAGACTAGTCTATATCTTATCCTTATGCCCACTTGACCCATCCAGGGGGCTTTCTGGATGCATGTTTTGTCTTTGTCAGCCCACCTTGGCCTGACTTTCTGGCTATTCGAGTACCTTCTCAATGGTGCAGTCGCTGGGGAGTAGGTAGAGGTGGAAGTTGACTTCCTCAGAATGGAGGCGATGGTAGAGCAGCACATTGGAGATGACAGGAATGTTCAGGAAAGAGTGGATCTTTCTCAGTAGAACTCCCATGGGGGAGAAGCTGGGGTTCTCGAGGACTATGTAACGTGGCTCCACCATGGTTGGCTTCTCCAGAAGTATCCCATCCTCTTTAAAGTGGGCTACTTGGAACCATGAGATGTCCACATGTTCCTCTGTGAAAAAATGGATTTGAGAGATGAGTACTTAGTGCCCTCCCTGAGTCAGGCTTGACTGGGGTAGTGTGGTCCTTGTGCAGAGGTTCTATGGCCTTTCTGGGGGACCCTGCAGGAAGTGTCTTGTGTCTTGGGCCTTTTGGGGTTGTGGTCAGTAGGTTCTCTCCAGTTGGAGCACCGCTGGAATCTTCTTGAGCCAAATCTATACACACCCTCAGGTCCTTGAGCTGGGAAAGATATGGATCCCATGGTTACCTGTGTTACTGTGCATGCTGTAACTTTGAGGGCCATTGAGTAATGCTGGCAGGTGTGACTCCAGTCAGATAGAAATAAGGAGAAAGAGAGTCGGAAATGGAGTGACCAAGGTAGTGTACATTTGTCGTGTTTGGTCACCCACCATTTTTAGATTCTTCTTTTTGTGAAGAACCTCCTCCTCCATCATTGTGTGGGTCTTGGCAAAATACAAGCTGGGCCTCCCACTCGGGAAGCTTGTTGCACAGGTGTGTGACCAAGACTTGACCAAGTGGATGCTTCTAACCAGGGCCTTGATCTAGAGGTGATGAAGCACAGATGAAAAACAGAGATTCTTTGGCAGCAGCAATGAGGTCAAGTGACCAGCAGCCACCATGGCAGGAGGGCTCTATAGTGACTGTGTCTGCCCTAGAAGTCTCTATATTTTTCCTTGGCTGTGTTCTTGTTTTCTCAACAGTCTTTGGTCACTGCTTTTTTTTTTTCTTTTCTCTGTAGGAATTTAGCCTAATTGTTTCTTAAGTCTATGAGCTACTCAATAATCTTCTCATATATTCTTTTTCTGTCCAAATCAGCCTTAGTCTGTATGGGCACCAATCAGCACATTTGGATTGATTTAATACCAGGAGGAGCCTTGGAGACTGCTACGTAACTTTACTAATTTTATAAATGCGTAAAACTTTTTAAAAAAATATATATTTGTTAATCCTCCTCCAAAGATATTTTTTTTCCATTGATTGTTAGAAAGAGTGGAAGGGAAGGGGAGAGACAGAGAGAGAGAAATGCCAGTGTGGGAGAAACACATCAATTGGTTGCCTCCCATACTTGCCCCGACTAGGGCTGGGGATTGAGTTTGCAACTGAGGTACATGCCCTTCACCAGAATCAAACCCAAGACCCTTCAGTCTGAGGGCTGATGCTCTAACCACTTAGACAAATTGGTTAAGCCTATTAGTTGCTTTTTTGCATGAAAAATATTATCATGGTGGTGTATACCACCTGACAAAATACAGAAGTATTTACCTCTGATCTCACTAAACAGTACAACAATTATTACCATTTCCCCCTTTTACATTAGTCTTTCTCTGTAGCAGCACCTTTTCGTGTTTCCATTTTGGTCATGTAGCTTTGTCTCCTGCCTTTCCCACACTGGTTTAAATAGTCGCAAGCGCCTGTGGGACTTTTAGTGACTGCAGTACATGATCCCTGCTGTGGATGCAGCATCCCTCATTCACCGCTTTCTTCTGGTTTCAGCCTAGGGGTTGCTTCCACCTTTTCGCCATGATAAATAGTCCTGCAATGCACATGTTTCTGCAGAGAACTTGTCTATTTCCCTTGAGCTACTACCTCGGATTGATAAGTCCCAAGGAATGAGAAAAGTGTGTGAAAGGATGTCAGCAATTCTATGACTTGCCAGGTTTTGCCAAATTGCTTCTCTATGAAGTGGTGCACTTTGCATTGCTTTGGTGACACTAAGTGGATGTTACCTCGTCCTCCACAAACTGAAATATTCTCACGTATTAGTTGGGTGAACTGAAGCTCCTGGAGGGAAGTGCTTTTCAGAAGGTCACGAGTCACCTATAGCCTTTGGGTGAGATCCCTGCTCTCAGAGCACAGTTTGCGATACTACAGACACTCTGTGCCTGAATTCTGTTTCATTTTTAAAATTTATGATGATGATCATTATTATTATTTGTGTGTGTGTGTGTGTGTGTCTGAATTCTGAAAGGTGCTGTGTGTGCATCCAACTTGCCTTCTTGCTAGGATGACCCATTGTCCTGGCTATCTCACACCTCCCCACCACTGCTTTACTGCTGAATCTTCCCTAGTCATTCCCTACTGTCATACCCTTCCCTACTGACCCTGTCTACCAAGCCAGGTGCCCCTGGACCCTGGAGTCTCTCCCCTTGGGACTGGCCTTTGTTGCTCCTGTGCCCGTGCTCTCCTCCTAATGGGCAGCTTGAATTGTTTACTTAATCTTGTGGTCTCAACAAATGAGCCTCTTCGGGGTCTGAGCCATTCTTTGCTGTTTTAGTTTTCTCATTCTATTTTTTTGTTTCTACTAATTTGTAAATTCTTCTTCTTATATACATATATATTTTTGACCGAGGATCCTAATATTTTAGTGTGTGTACTTAAAGTCTAAAGTAAACCAATGCCTGTACCTGGAGATGATACTGAATGGATTTAACTACTGGAAGTGTGCTATAATCCTACATAATAAAAGGCTAATATGCAAATTGTCTCCTTGGGAGTTTGACTGGGAGACCTAGAGTTCAATCACTCGCTATATGTGCACTGAACGTCAATTAACTGTTAATCAAGAATTACAGCCACAGAAAAGTTATTGCTGAGGGACTCCACCTGTGCATGAATTCCTGCACCAGACCTCTAGTTCTATCATAATTAAAGTTCCTGTCTGAATCATGATTTGACATGGGGAACTGAATCAGGCTCTTCCAACTTTCACATTAGATTGATAGACATTAGTTCCATGACAGCCAATGTCATCTGGGGTGCATCTGATGCCACTCATGGCCTGGACTGGAAAGCCTGTGTTGCCTCAGCCTGCACATGTGCAGGCCCATTACTTGACTCCGTGGCCAACACTGGCTGATGTTGGCAGGTCACTTGTGGTCTCAAAAAGGGGAGAATTTCTCTTTCCTGATCAGGATGGAAATATTTTAGCATTTTAACCCAGAAGGCAGTTCTAATGCGGCCTTCGCCCTTCTTGTGAATTATACACTAAGTCCTTTGTATTTTTTAGCACTCTACTTGCTATTTTTGTTGGCATTTTAGTTTTTCTCTCTCTTTAAAATCCCCACACATTAGACATTATTACTGTTGCTTTATCCAGTCATTGGTTTGTTAGTTTTACCCAGTTGTATGTCAGTGTCTTTGCTGATTATTTCATCTTGTACCGCATACCTTCTGTATGAGATAATTTTTCTTTTGCTTGAGTTACATCCTTTAGGATTTCCTTCAGTAAGTATTTGTGTAAAGATATCTTGGTTTTAGTTTGTTTTAAAATGTCTAATTTACCTACTTATTAAATAATAATTTTTTGTGGTTGTAATTCTTGATTAACAGTTATTTGCTTAATACTTTGAGGTTTTCATTCCATTGTCTTCTGTGGCCTTCTATTGTTGCTGTTCAAAATCAGTTGTCATCCTAATGGCAGTACCTTGCTCCATAATCTTTCTGCTGCTGTTAAAACCTGCCCTTAGATGTCTGCATTCTGTAGATTCACTTCAGTGGGCCTAGTGCTGATTTCTCTCTGTTCCTCTTTCCTGCTTTGAATTTTTGGGATTTCTCCTTCTTACAGCAATTATAGAAATTTCTTGGAAATTCTCTCTTTGAATATTACGTTTTCCATTCTCTCCATAATATCCTTCTAGAATTCTGATTAGATGTATATTAGGCCTCTTGGTATCTTCCATGTCACTTAATCTTTTCTTAGCTATACTTTATCATATTTTCTGGCAATTTAGCTTATTTTCAAACTTGATTTGTCATTTTGTAAATATATTTTTAATTTTTTTTTACAGAGAGGAATGGAGAGGGATAGAAAGTTAGAAACATCAATGAGAAACATTGATCAGCTGCTTCCTGCACACCCCCTACTGGTGATGTGCCCGCAACTAAGGTACATGCCCTTGACTGGAATTGAATCTGGGACCCTTGAGTCCGCAGGCCGACGCTCTATTCACTGAGTCAAACCGGTTAGGGCAATTTGTCATTTTTAGTGGTTTATTGTTTCTTGCTCATATTTTAAGGACTATTTCATTAAGCATAAGAAACATACTTATTTTGCATTCTCCTTTTGATAATTTAAATGTTTGAGGTCTTTTTAAAAAAATATGGAACGCTTCATGAATTGGTGTGTCCTCCTTCTGCAGGGACCATGCTAATCTCCTCTGTATCATTCCAATTTTAGTGTATGTGCTGCTGAAGCGAGCACTGTCTGAGGTCTTTATGGGACTGATATCTGGTTGAAGTTTCTGTTGGTTTTCAGTGCTTCTGAGGTTTGGATTGTGAACTTTATATTTTTTGGAACTTTTTCTGTGGGAAGTCTTTGGAGGTGAGAGAGGTTCGGATAACCATGTAACTCTGTGACTACGTCTCTTACTGAAATGCTCTTCTTTTGTGGCTTGAGCTCTCATATGGAGTCTGGTGACACTGTATCTCCTCCCTGCCTGTAGTAGTAGCAATCACTTCCCATTTGTTGTTAATTTTTAGGTGCCCCAACCTTTCCTGTTCGTTCACTTAGCCTTACTTTTCAAATGGTCTTGTCTCTGAAAAGTCTTTTCTTTCTTTCTTTCTTTTAAAAAAAATATATTTTATTGATTTTTTACAGAGAGGAAGGGAGAGGGATAGAGAGCCAGAAATATTTATGAGAGAGAAACATCGATCAGCTGCCTCCTGCACACCCACCTGGAGATATGCCCGCAACCAAAGTACATGCCCTTTACCAGAATCGAACCCGGGACCCTTCACTCCGCAGGCCGACACTCTATCCACTGAGCCAAACCGGTCAGGGCTCTGAAAAGTCTTTTCAAAAATCTCAAATGAATATATCATATATTTTCTGCTGGGAACCTGAATGATACAATCTATGTGAAGAGAACTTAATAAATGATAGCTATTATTGTTATTGAGGAGACCTCTTTCTTCCTTCCTTCTCCCTTCTTCCCTTCCTCCCTTTCTCCCTTTCTTTCTCTCTCTCTCCCTTCCTTCCTTCCTTCC